GTTTATACTCTTGGAAGTTTGGGGCATATAAATGTTGAAAATATGCCGCACAGCCCTATATTTTGACCTTTGAAAAAAATAGTAGTGCATATAAACTTTCCATTCTAGGATATAATTTTTTACAAAAACTTCATAGTAAAAGTGGCACAGTTTTAGCAGTAAAAGGAGTTCCTATGGAAAATTGCATTGTCTATATTTACAGAAGTGCAATCTATAAGTTACTAAGGAGCAACTTTTTATTTTTGAAGTTCCAATAATATTTTTTATGCCCCCGCCATAGCGGTGGGGACATTAAGTTTTACCCTTGTCCATCTGTACGTACATCCCAAAATTGGTTTCCGTTCTCTGACTTCAGTTTGCCTCAACCAAATGTTATGAAACTTCTACAAAATGCTTATTACCACAAAACACAGATCAAGTTTGAATTTTGGTGGCGTCACTTTAACTGTTCTAGAGTTATGCCCCTTTATAAATGGAAAAATTGCAAAATATTTAGTTTCCGTTCTTTAACTTAAGTTTGCCTCAACCAAATGTTATGAAACTTATACAAAATGCTTATTACCACAAAACACAGATCAAGTTTGAATTTTGGTGACGTCACTTTAACCGTTCAGAGTTATGCCCCTTTATAAATGGAAAAAATGCAAAATTGCTGATTTTTATACGACCGCAAAAAAATTTTTGTGGTCGTATATTGGTATGACTAGGTGTCGTCGTCATCGTCGTCCGGCGTCGTCCGAAGACACATTGGTTTTCGCACTCTAACTTTAGTTTAAGTGAATGGATCTCTATGAAATTTTACCACAAGGTTCAATACCACAAAAGGAAGGTTGGGATTGATTTTGGGGGTTATGGTACCAACAGTAAAGGAATTGGGGGCCAAAAAGGGGCCAAAAATAAGCATTTTTGTAACTTCCAGACATAACTTGTGTGTTAGTGTATGGATCTCTCTGACATTGTACCACAAGGTTCCATATCACAAAAGGAATGCTTGGATTGATTTTGGGGGTAATTGCCTCAAAATTTTAGGAATTAGGGGCCAAAAAAGGGGCAAAAAACAAGCATTTTTCTAGTTTCATGACAATAACTTGTGTGTATGTGTATGGATCTTTCTGAAATTGTACTACAAGGTTCCATATCACAAAGGGAAAGCTGGAATTGAGTTTGGGGGTAATTGCCGAAACGTTTATGAATTGGGGGCCAAAAAGGGGCCAAAAATAAGCATTTTTCTAGTTTCCAGACAATAACTTGTGTTCAAGTGTATGGATCTCTCTGAAATTGTACTGCAAGGTACCATACCACAAAGGGAATGCTGGGCTTGATGATGGGGGTAATTGCCTCAATATTTTAGGAATTAGGGGCCAAAAAGGGGCAAAAAACAAGCATTTTTCTAGTTTCAGGACAATAACTTGTGTGTAAGTGTATGGATCTTTCTGAAATTGTACTACAAGGTTCCATATCACAAAGGGAAAGCTGGGTTTGAGTTTGGGGGTAATTGCCCTAAACGTTTAGGAATTTGGGGTCAAAAAGGGGCCAAAAAACACATTTTTCTAGTTTCCAGACAATAACTTGTGTTCAAGTGTATGGATCTCTGAAATTGTACTGCAAGGTACCATACCACAAAGGGAAGGCTGGGATTGAGTTTGGGGGTGATGAATCATAAGGGGGTTCAAAAAATTTAGGGGGGGGGGATTTTTTTTTTTTAACTTTTTTTTTCCTTTTTTCCTTTTGTTTTTCTTTTAAAATTTTCCATTTTAAGTTGATTATTTCTGATTTATATTTAAAAGCAAATAATAATGATATGGTAGGAGATGCACACCAAACAGGATGTGTAAATTATTATATAATAAGTATTGTGCAATAGCAAGAAATTTTCAATTGCACAGTATTGCACAATAGCAAGAAGTCTTCAATTGCACAGTATTGCGCAATAGCAAGAAATATCCAATAGCACAATATTGCGCAATAGCAAGAAATTGTCAATTGTACAGTATTGCGCAATAGCAAGAAATATTTAATTGCACAGTATTGTGCAAAAGAAGATACTTCGTATAAATTGCTTATTTCTTGACCAATTTCAATGGGGTTTTATTCTTGAATTCTTGGGGTTCTTTAATATGCTGAATCTAACCGTGTATTTAGTTTTTGGATTTTGGGCCCCGTTTTTAAATTGGTCCACATTGAGGTCCAAAGGGTCCAAAATTAAACTTTGTTTGATTTCATCAAAAATTGAATTATTGGGGTTCTTTGATATGCCGAATCTAACCGTGTATTTAGATTCTTAATTTTTGGTTCCGTTTTCAAATTGGTCTACATTAAGGGCCAAAGGGTCCAAAATTAAACTTAGTTAGATTTTAACAAAAATTGAATTCTTAGGGTTCTTTGATATGCTGAATCTAAACATGTATTTGGATTTTTGATTATGGGCCCAGTTTTCAAGTTGGTCCAAATCGGGGTCCAAAATTAAACTTTGTTTGATTTCAACAAAAATTGAATATATGGGGTTCTTTGATATGCTGAATCTAACCATGTATTTAGATTTTTGATTTTTGGGCCCCGTTATCAACTTTGTCCACATTTAGGTCAAAAGGGTCCAAAATTAAACTTTGTTTGATTTCATCAAAAATTGAATTCTTGGGGTTCTTTGATATGCTGAATCTAACCATGTATTTAGATTTTGGATATTGGACCATAATAGGTGAATGTCCAATTTAAAATTTTTAAGTTCTTAGACCACATTCATTCTGTGTCAGAAACCTATGCTGTGTCAAATATTTAATCACAATCCAAATCCAAAGCTGTATCAAGCTTGAATGTTGTGTCCATACTTGCCCCAACTGTTCAGGGTTCGACCTCTGCGGTCGTATCAAGCTGCGCCCTGCGGAGCATTTTATTAGTTTCTGTTCTCTACTTAAGTTAGCCTCAACCAAATGTTATGAGACATACACACAATGCTTAATACCACAAAACTCAGATCAAGTTCAAATTTGGGTAGCGTGACTTTTACTGTTCTTCAGTTATGTCCCTTTATAACTATATGCTATGCAAGCGGGGGCATCATCTGTGTCCACATGTGGACACTATCCACATTTATTTTTACTTGCAATGATTGATGAGTTACTAGTTATTTAAACCCAACACTGGCCTCATTGACGCTATGCGTACAGCTCCACTTAAATCGAATACTAGATAGGAAATATGTCTTTTCTTAAGAATTTCCACACATTTTGATATTTCACGAAAATTCAATGAAAATAGGTAAATTTCCATTGATTTTTTGGACTGGAAAAGTGCATGTCTCAACAAATCAGATCTTTTCACATCATGTTTATTTTTTACATTTTATATATCTGACTTGAATATCGAGGTTATCGAAGTGATTTTGTCAAATTTCACCCAGATCTCTACATTTAGCGTATTTAGGTTGTAAATGATAACACTTTATTAGAAAAGCTAGACAAAAAAGTTCTATTTCACTTTCTTATGTGTCTTGTCATCAACTTGAAACATTTTTATGCCCCCGCCGTACCGGAGGGGGCATTAAGTTTTACCCTTGTCCGTCTGTACGTACTTACGTACGTACGTACGTACGTACGTCCGTCCGTACGTCCCGAAATTGGTTTCCGTTCTCTAACTTGAGTTTGCCTCAACCAAATGTTATGAAACTTATACACAATGCTTATTACCACAAAACACAGATCAAGTTTGAATTTTGGTGGCGTCACTTTAACCGATCTAGAGTTATGCCCCTTTATAAAAGGAAATATTGCAAAATTTTTAGTTTCCGTTCTCTAACTTAAGTTTGCCTCAACCAATTGTTATGAAACTTATACACAATGCTTATTACCACAAAACACAGATCAAGTTTGAATTTTGGTGGTGTCACTTTAACCGATCTAGAGTTATGCCCCTTTATAAAAGGAAAAATTGCAAAATTTTTATTTTCTTCTAAATATCAAGTTTATATAATATATTTTTAAAATTGGAGTTATCTTCCTTTGACCATGATTATAGTTGAATCAACTACAATCAATGCTTTATACAATGCAATGTTTAATTTTGACTACCACTGATAAAACACAGATCAAGTTGAATGTGGGTAGTGTCACTTTAACCATTATTGAGTTATGCCCCTTTATAAATAGAAAGATTGCAAAATTTTTTAGTTTCCATTCTGTAACTGAAGTTTTCCCCAACCAAACATTGTGAAACCTATACACAATATTCATTCCAACAAAACTCAGTAAAGATCAAGTACATTTTTTTTGTTTCAGTTCTCTAACTTGAGTTTGCCTCAACCAAATGTTATGAAACTTATACACAATGCTAATTACTACATAATACAGATTAAGTACGAAATTAGGTGGCAACACTTTTACCATTCTAGAGTTATGTCCCATTATAAACATAAAAATTGCTGAATTTTTTAGTTTGTCTCAACCAAATGTTGTAAAACTTATACACAACCGTTCTAGAGTTATGCGTCATTACAAATAGAAAAATTGCTGAATTTTTAGTTTCTGTTCTCTACTTCAGTTAGCCTCAACCAAATGTTATGAGACTTACACACAATGCTTATTACCACAAAACTCAGATCAAGTTCAAATTTTGGTAGTGTCACTTTTACCGTTCTTCAGTTATGTCCCTTTATAACTATATGATATGCAAGCGGGGGCATCATCTGTGTCCACATGTGGACACTATCCACATTTATTTTTTTTATCTTTAAACAATTCAATTAATGATCGGGGCCTAACATAGCCCTTACCGAACTTATAAATCCTATCATTTTCTGCAGACCTCATGTAATAAACAGCTATTGCATCATAACTTTCCATAATAAGTTATATTTTTCATGGTGATTGAAAGCAATGGAGGTAGATGGTTGGTAATTACCCAATTGTAAGTAGAAATGATAACAGGCAGAACAGAATATTTTTTTGGTCTACTCTATCAGAAGGGAGATAACTCAATTTTATTTTGATTGTTTTTATTTTCAGGTCAACTTTACAGAGAATGATTATCATGAAGAATTTGACAGAGACCAGATTGTTTACTTGTCAGGGGATTCCCCTAATGTACTAGAAGATCTGTCTGATGACCATGTGTACATAATTGGAGGACTAGTAGACCATAACCAGTATAAGGTTTCATATTGCTTTATTTCAGTTTATATTTTTATTGAAGATAATTACATTACTATGTGGTATGTTTATAAGGGCATCTTTTATATCTGTTAGTCAGTTCTTTTAAGTCAAATTACTAGTTTTCACACAAAGAGCTGAATTTAAAAAACAAAGAAAAAATTAGTTTAATTTTGCAAATAAGATTTTGAGTACTATGTTCTGCAACATGCAGAAATCAAAGTCCTATATTACAGTCCTTCTGTAAAAAAGGATCCTTCATAAGTGTTTTATCTTATTTTAGAATGAAACAATATTCGTAAAATTCTTTAAGAAAAAGAGAAAGTACTTTTATTTTTTATTGTATCAATTATTTTCTGATGTTATCATATTTTTAAAGTCATTTAGGTTATGCAATATACTAGTGATTGGAATTAATTGTATTACCATATATTATGTGAACGTTGTTTTATGTTATTTCAGGGTATGTGTCATCAGCTTGCAGTAGAACAAGGAATGTCACATGCACAGTTACCTATTGGACAGTATATTGAGATGAAGTCTCGTAAAGTACTCACAGTTAATCATGGTATTGAAGTTTTTTTTTGTGGTGTATTAATGGGGTATAAAACTTTTAAGGGAGATAACTTCTTACAGATCAGCATAGCGCTTTATTAGCATTGTGAAATTAACACATATTTACATGTACCACACACAAATGTTTTAAGCAGACAACATCTTCTTGTTTTGCTGTTGGATATTGTTTTGTCGATTGATTGATTGTTGGTGTTTAACGCCACATTTACCATATATATGGCTACATCATCTTTGATGGAGAAAGCTGGAGTACCTGGAGAGAACAATTGACCTTTGGCAGTAAAACTGACAATCCCTGTCAATAAGATCGCAGTCAAAAAGACCTTACCACTAGCAGGAACTAACGCTTGTTTTGTGGAATATATCTATATTCAACCAAAGTGGTAAAAGACTACCAAGATTCACAGGGAATTGACTTAAGATAATGTAGTAATATACAGAAAAAATAAGATTTTATTCTTGTAGATTATTTGAATAGAATACTGTGTACACTGTAAAATAAAGGGGAATAACTCCATTGTTTTAAATAGAATAACAATTAGTTTTGACTTTGGACCAGTACAAACTAAAATAGTTATATTATTAATTTATTTGTCCCTCATGATCCTATTTTTATACGACCGCAAAAAAAATTTGCGGTTGTATATTGGTATGACGTTGGTGTCGTCTTCGTTGTCATCGTCCGAAGACACATTGGTTTTCGCACTCTAACTTTAGTTTAAGTGAATGGATCTCTATGAAATTTTACCATAAGGTACAATACCACAAAAGGAAGGTGGGGATTGATTTTGGGGGTTATGGTACCAACAGTTAAGGAATTAGGGGCCAAAAATAAGCATTTTTGTAACTTCCAGACATAACTTGTGTGTTAGTGTATGGATCTCTCTAACATTGTACCACAAGGTTCCATATCACAAAGGGAACGCTGGGATTGATTTTGGGGGTAATTGCCTCCAAATTTTTGGAATTAGGGGCAAAAAAGGGGCAAAAAACAAACATTTTTCTAGTTTCATGACAATAACTTGTGTGTAAGTGTATGGATCTCTCTGACATTGTACCACAAGGTTCCATATCACAAAGGGAATGCTGGGATTGATTTGGGGGTAATTGCCTCTAAATTTTAGGAATTAGGGGCCATAAAGGGGCAAAAAAACAAGCATTTTATTAGTTTCATGACAATAACTTGTGTTCAAGTGTATGGATCTTTATGAAATTGTACTACAAGGTTCCATATCACAAAGGGAAAGCTGGGTTTGAGTTTGGGGGTCATTGCCCTAAACGTTTAGGAATTTGGGGCCAAAAAAGGGCAAAAAAACAAGCATTTTTCTAGTTTCCAGACAATAACTTGTGTTCAAGTCTATGGATCTCTCTGAAATTGTACTGCAAGGTACCATACCACAAAGGGAAGGCTGGGATTGAGTTTGGGGGTGATGAATCATAAGGGGGTTCAAAATATTTGGGGGGAGGGGGGGGGGGGGTTCCTTTTTTTTCTTTAAAATTTTCCATTTTAAATTGGTTATTTCTGATTTATATATAAAAGCAAATAATAATGATATGGTTTGAATGGGTAAAGTAAAAATTTTTAAGTTCTTAGACCACATTCATTCTGTGTCAGAAACCTATGCTGTGTCAAATATTTAATTACAATCCAAATTCAGTGCTGTATCAAGCTTGAATGTTGTGTCCATACTTGCCCAACTGTTCAGGGTTCAACCTTTGCGGTCGTATCAAGCTGCGCCCCAGCGGAGCATTTTATTAACATTTATAGTGCTTCCTTAGTTATACTATATGTTTTATGCCCCTGCTGTAGGCAACAGGGGCATTAAGTTTTACCCTTGACCGTCCGTCCATCTGTCCGTCCATCCCATTTTTATACAACCGCAAAAAAATTTTGTGGTCGTATATTGGTATGACATTGGCGTTGTCGTCGTCCGGCGTCGTCGTCGTCGTCCGAAGACACATTGGTTTTCGCACTCTAACTTTAGTTTAAGTGAATGGATCTCTATGAAATTTTACCCTAAGGTTCAATACCACAAAAGAAAGGTGGGGATTAATTTTGGGGGTTATGGTACCAACAGTTAAGGAATTAGGGGCCAAAAAGGGGCCAAAAATAAGCATTTTTGTAACTTCCAGACATAACTTGTGTGTTAGTGTATGGATCTCTCTGACATTGTACTACAAAGTTCCATAACACAAAGGGAAAGCTGGAATTGAGTTTGGGGGTAATTGGTCAAAAGTTTAAGAATAAGGGGCCAAAAAGGGGCAAAAAATAAGCATTTTTATAGTTTCCAGAAAATAACTTTCTAGTTTAAGGACAATAACTTGTGTGTAAGCGAATGGATCTTTATGAAATTGTACTACAAAGTTCCATATCACAAAGGGAAAGCTGGGTTTGCGTTTGGGGTAATTGCCCTAAATGTTATGGAATATGGGGCCAAAAAGGGGCCAAAAAACAAGCATTTTTCTAGTTTCCAGACAATAACTTGTGTTCAAGTGTATGGATCTCTATGAAATTGTACTGCAAGGTACCATACCACAAAGGGAAGGCTGGGATTGAGTTTAGGGGTGATGAATCATAAGGGGGTTCTAAAAATTGGGAGGGGGGATTTTTTTTCCTTTAAAATTTTCCATTTTAAATTGGTTATTTCTGATTTATATATAAAAGCAAATAATAATGATATGGTTTGAATAGGTAAATTAAAAATTTTTAAGTTCTTAAACCACATTCATTCTGTGTCAGAAACCTATGCTGTGTCAAATATTTAATCACAATCCAAATTCAGTGCTGTATCAAGCTTGAATGTTGTGTCCATACTTGCCCCAACTGTTCAGGGTTCGACCTCTGCGGTCGTATCAAGCTGCGCCCAGCGGAGCATTTTATTATTTCTGGACTCTAACTTAAGTTTGCCTCATCCAAATTTTAAGAACCATAACACAAAGACAGAGTTTAAATTTGGGTTTTGAGTCAATTATCGTTCTAAAGTCATGCCCCTTTTTGACTTCGAAAATTGCAAAGCTTGAGCTAGGGGCATTCGTTTGCTTAGACACATTCTTTTATTTATTTCAGTTTTTGAAATTCTGTTGAAGTACACAGAGACAAAAGACTGGAAAGAATCATTCTTTTCTGTGATACCTCAAAGGAAAGTGGTCAATAGTACTGACAAGGAACAAGTTAGCACTAAACAGGAAACAGATGTTGATAATGATCCTTCAATGGACAATGCTAAATTAACTAAAACTGGTTGTGACAGTATTGCGATGAACGATACAAGCTGTAGAAACACATGCGATATAAAACAGGACTTTGAACTCTTACAAGTAACTAGTAATCAAGAAATTCCAAATACTTCTCAGGATAACCAGTTTAAATGCAATGCCGTAAAAAGCAGACCTTTTGAAAATGGTTCTCAAGGAATACAGAAGGAAGATTTAAGTACTTTAACTTGTGATAATGAAGAAAATAAACAGACAACATAAATTGTGCAAATTCTTAGAAATATTATGTTTTATAGATTTGATTATTTATTTATGTGATTTGACATGATATAAGGGGAAACATTGGAAAATGAATTGATAAAATATTCTGTATATAAAAAAAGAGATGTGGTATGGTTGCCAATGAAACAACTATCCACCAAAGTTCAAATGATGTGGATATTTATTGGCCTTCAACAATGAGAAAATTCTGTACTGTGTAGTCTGCTTTAAAAGGTCCCAAAATGAAAAATATGAAACAGTTCAATTGAGAAAACTAACCACCAATTGATAAAATATTTTCAATTAAAAAAGGAATTCATAAATATTCTTTATATAAAAAAAGAGATGTGGTATGGTTGCCAATGAAACAACTATCCAACAAAGTTCAAATGATGTGGATATAAACGGCCTTCAACAATGAGAAAATACCATACTGTATAGTCAGCCTTAAAAGGCCCTGAAATGAAAAATATGAAGCAATTCTATTGAGAAAAATAACGGCCTAATTTATAACAAAACAATTTACGAAAAAAAACAAATATGACAGACATGAACCAATGACAACCACTGAAATACAGGCTCCTTTTATAGTTGTATTTATACATGTTGAAGGATTTTTTTTTATTCACTATATATACAATGCCATACATTTATTTCATGCATTAAAGGACAAATTTTTAGTAATTTCCATGTCAATTTTTAGTAATTTCCATGTCAATTTTTAGTTAAACCAGCTGAGCCAACACACGTTTTGATATTTTGTTCTATAAGTGGATACCAGTGGTGTGCAGAGTTGTTAATTAAAAAAAATGCCACTTAAGAAAACAGCATAATCTTATTGGTTGACATATTTAACCTATCATATCAGCTTTTTCAGGACAAGGTAAAAAGACATGTCACTGAAGTAGAGTGATGGAATCAAAATGTTGACATCATGATAATTATTCTGGAAGGTCTTAGTTACAGTTTACACATAGAAAGTTATTTGTAGAAATTGGCAATGTTTTTGTTTGTATTATGCACTGAATATATTGTAGTATTATTCTTCCAAATAGAGTACACCATACTAGGCTTACATTGTATCTGTACAATTTCCATTTGCTTTTACCGGCAGAGCTGATTGACAGAGGTACTTCTCCCAATGGTGTTGGGAATACTCTAGGGGTGAATGATTACCGCTGGTGCTGGAGTTTGTGTGCACATTTATATTATCGGTGCACATCCAATTTATTTAACCATCAATTTTTGGAGAGGGTTGTTAGATGGCACATTTTTATCCATGATTCTTAAAACTCAGTTGTCTTGTACTGGGTACTTATATTTGGGATTGCATGAGGTCATGCGTATTTTCAGACTGTTTATGATGTGTTTAAACTAAATCTGTTGGATGTGTACTAATTGATACTTTAGCCTGGGATATGATTTATTATTAGTTGGAACTTTGAACTAGTTTTAAGTAAATGCAATTCACTTATATATGGGCTTTGTGCTTATTAGTCCCCTACCGACGAAGTTGAAGGGGACTTTAGGTTTGCACTCTGTCTGTCTGTCTGTCTGTCTGTCTGTCTGTCTGTCTGTCTGTCTGTCTGTCTGTCTGTCTGTCTGTCTGTCTGTCTGTCTGTCTGTCTGTCTGTCTGTCTGTCTGTCTGTCTGTCTGTCTGTCTGTCTGTCTGTCTGTCTGTCTGTCTGTCTGTCTGTCTGTCTGTCTGTCTGTCTGTCTGTCTGTCTGTCTGTCTGTCTGTCTGTCTGTCTGTCTGTCTGTCTGTCTGTCTGTCTGTCTGTCTGTCTGTCTGTCTGTCTGTCTGTCTGTCTGTCTGTCTGTCTGTCTGTCTGTCTGTCTGTCTGTCTGTCTGTCCATCCATCCCTCAGTCCGGCAAATCAGTTTTCCACACTTGTTTTCTTCGTGCTTGAAGATATTGATTTGCTATTTGGTATATTGTTTTATCATGACAAGTTACAGATCAAGTTCGAATTTTGTTCCGGTCTGATAATTTTGTGCAGAGTTATGGTCCTTGTTCATATTGTTTTTATGTTAGTTTTTTGTGCTTCGTACCCATCTATTGAGTAGAGCCATTCACAACTGATTTTTGTTTCGCCTGCAACAAAAGTTGCAGTATGCCAGACATAGGTATTACTATATAGAGGCGGCATAAACTATTTGTATAAAGCTTTATATTTCAGAACATTTGCAGAAGGTAGAAGACCGAGGTGCTTCATATCTTGTACTCAGATACCTTATGTTACAAAGTTTCCGTCAATCATCTGTCAATTGTTCTTGACCTCATTTTCATGGTTCAGCGTCTGCTTGAAAAAAATTTCAGTTTTTTTGTCATTTGAATTTCTCACTTATTATGAGTAATAGGATAACTCTATTTGGTATATGGGTTCGTGGCAACGTCTACATGTCCATGTTATTAACCTTTACCAAGCCAGGAGCCTGTTATTCAGTTGTTGTCATTGATTGATGTCTGTCATATTTGTTTTTCATAAATTATAATAATTGTTATAAATTAGGCCATTTGTTTTCTCCTTGGAATTGTTGCATATTTTTTCATATCAGGACTAGTCATAGCTGACTATACAGTATGGGTTTTCTCATAGTTGAAGGCCATACAGTAACCTATGATTGCTTACATCTACGTCATTTGAACTCTGTTAGATAGTTGTCTCATCAGCAATCATACCACATCTCCTTATTTTTATATTGTACCTATGAATTTAAGTTTCTATTGGTGTGTTCTTTTCCTTTTAATAACTGGGTTTTCGGACTGAAGTTCAGTTCAGGCTGTTTCTGTGTGTTAACTTTGAACTGTTCAACTAATGCTTTTCAAATTTGAATAAGGTGTTACCGATCACAAAATAGAGGTCAAGTTCAATATTGATGATTTTCACTTTTGACGTTAAGGAGTTATAGTCCTTGATTGATTGAAAAATGGCTCTTCTGTACCAACGTTTCCATGCAATAACTTAACTGTTAGTGATGACATATTTGAGGTCACATTCCATATTGATGATTTTCACTTTTGCCGTTAACTTATTGTCCTTGATCGATTGGAAAATGGTATTTAATGACATATCAATGCAATAAGTTGAGAACCTTTCAACCAAGGCTTTTCAAATTTCCATATATTGTTACTGTTAAAAAAATGGGGGTTAAGTTTGATATTGACAAATTATACTTTTGTTAGTCCCCTACTGGCGAAGTCGAAGGGGACTTTAGGTTTGCACTCTGTCCGTCTGTCTGTCCGTCCGTCCGTCTGTCCATCCGTCAGTCCTGCAAATCAGTTTTCCAGACTTTTTTTCTTCATGCTTGAAGATATTGATTTGATATTTGGTGTATTGTTTTATCATGACAAGTTCGATTTTCACAATTTTTGCTTTTCTCCTTAATCAGTTAAAGCCCTTTCCCTAGAATTAAATTTTTGATGAAATACTTATTAATTACTAGATTTCTGTTCAAAGGGAAATAACTCATTTTTTTTTTAGATTTGTAAAAGACATTGTATTAAGATATATGACATTTCGGATTTTTTTCCTTTTCTTTAGTAAATTGTTTGAAGAATTTAGTGGTAGTTTTGCTCCATTACAATGAATTTCTAACCGGTAGGGGACTATGTATTGCCATGCAATACTCACAGAATGCTTGTTGTTTGGGAGTTATGGCCCTTAAATGCTTTAACAATGACACTAATAAATATATGAAAAACCTGGTATGATAATTTTGACAGCCTCTTGTTTGAATTATGTGTTTGTTTCAATGTTGTTCTATCAATTGTTGATGGTACTGGTTTATTGGTTGCTTCTTTTAAGTATTTATTGTGGTCTGTTGTTCTCCTAGTTTAATTATTAATTTGAATAAATCTGAACCCCTGCGTCTCCATATTCCCTCTACTGAACTGCACTTATCAACAAGCCTACCATACAATAGGTATTTTTATTTCTTTATAGTGCGTGAAGATAATGTGGTTGAAATTTTTGGTTGGCAGTTGCATAATGATTAACTACAGATAGATAGGTTCTTTTTCCTTTTTTAATATATTATACTGAAAGAAGATTAAATTTCTAGAGTAAGTACCCGGTATAGGCCTAAAATAATTTCCGTCCTTCTGTTCACTTGATCTTTTTAAGCTAACACAAGATGCTTTAGTATTTCAGAATTTCAGAATGCGAATGGGTCACACATACCATCAAGCTGCAGTTTTATTTCATTCCTTTAAACTAAACAACTGCTGTTTGTTTCAATGTTGTTCTATCATTAATTACTATATGAATAATATGGTAGGGAGAACGTGTTACACCAAACTCCATTATCGAATTAAATCAGTAAATCAAAGCATGTTACAGGTTATCTCCCATTTATAAAATGCATTTAAATGGTTTAGACCCTCAAGCTGAGAAGGTAATACTCTCAAACATGGAAAAACTAAGACAAATAAGTCTTGTACAACTCAAATTAACCTTTTACTAAAGGAGAAAATTGGCTTATCAGTTTAATTGAGGTCTGGAGCTGGCATGTCAGTAACTGCTAGTAGTCCTTTGTTAATTTATGTATCATTGTCATTTTGCTTAGTTTCTTTTGTTACCTATTCTGACATCGGACTCGGACTTCTTTTAAACTGAGTTTTACTGTGTATATCGCTGTGTGTTTCTTTATTCTACATTGGCTAGAGGTATAGGGGGAGGGTTGAGATCTCACAAAACATGTTCAACCCCGCCGCCTGTCCCAAGTCAGGAGCCTCTGGCCTTTGTTAGTCTTGTATGTTTTTTAATTTTAGTTCATTTATATGTTTTGGAGTTTAGTATGACGTCCATTTTCACTGAACTAGTACACATTTTAATTTAGGGGCCAGCTGAGGACCACCTCCAGGTGCGGGATTTTCTCGATGCGTTGAAGACCCATTGGTGGCCTTCAGCTGTTATCTGCTCTTTGGCTGGGTTGTTGTCTCTTTGACATATTCCCCATTTCCACTCTCAATTTTATTTGACCTATTTAAATTTTTTACATTGTACTGTCATCAAGTTATTGCACAGAAATTGTTTGGAGCTGGTTGACTGCCAATTTTCCGTCAAATAAAGGACCATTACTCAATGGCAAAATTGAACTGTTCCTTGATGTGATACATATTTGACATATTTATGATAAAATGTTAGTATCTTTTAATAAGATTGACCCTAACAATAATGTATATGATCAGTGCCAACAAAGGTAAATCTTTGATAAAATAAAATAAAAGATGATCATTTCTGTTAGAAGAGTAGATGTTTCTGTAGCAGGACAACTTCCCCTCTTCATCAAACCAAAATTACTTCAATTTTAAATATTTAAGATTTCTTATTTACGAAATGGGAGTTAATTTAAGATTTGATGATTTTTATGCCCCGGCCGTAGCGGAGAGAGCATTAAGATTTACCCTTGTCCGTCTGTACGTCCGTCTGTCAGTCCGTACGTACGTCCCAAAGTTGGTTTCTGTTCTCTAACTTTAGTTTGCCTCAACCAAATGTTATGAAACTTATACACAATGCTTATTACCACAAAAAAAACAGATCAAGTTTGGATTTTGGTGGTGTCATTTTAACCGTTCTAGAGTTATGCCCCTTTACAAATGGAAAAGTTGAGGAATTTTTCGTTTCCGTTCTCTAACTTAAGTTTGCCTCACCCAAATGTTATGAAACTTATACACAAT